AAATTAATTTAATTGTGGTGGGAGGTGAGTACAGACAAGCACAGAGCCAATCAAATTATTTAAATCCGACGCCTCAATTAAATAATTTAATTAGACCGTAGGATTTAAATGATTTAATTGGTTTGGGTTTGCGATTTAACTCTTTGGCATAAAAGCTGAACCGAAAATCTTAGGGACCAGGGCTTGCGATTTGACTCCTTGCTCACCCCATAATCATAATGATATAAGACGGAAACATATAATAAAGATGACAAAAAGATGATAAACGACTACAAAAAGATGACAGAAAGATGATAAAATATGATAAAAGATGACAAAAAGATGATAAAAGATGATAAAAGATGATAACGATAGAAGATGATTAAGATAAAATGCTTTCAAAAACAAAGTCCAAACGATGACCCGATTAAAAGATGATAAAAGATGATAAAAAGATGACAAAAAAGATGATAAAGGATTATAACAAAAAGATAACAAAAGGTGATAACGATAGAATATGATTAGGATAAAGGATGCTTTCCAAACAAGATCCAAACGATGACCCGATTAAAAGATGATAAAAGATGATAAAAATATGACAAAATGATAAAAGATTACAACAAAAAGATAACAAAAATGTGATAACGATAGAATATGATTAGGATAAAGGATGCTTTCCAAATAAGATCCAAACGATGACCCGATTAAAAGATGATAAAAGATGATGAAAATATGACAAAAATGCTAAAATATTACAACAAAAAGGTAACAAAAAGGTGATAACGATAGAATATGATTATGACAAAGGATGCTTTCCAAATAAGATCCAAACGATGACCCGATTAGAAGATGATTAAAGGTGACAAAAAGAATAAATTAATTGAATTAATTGTACAGAATTGAATTAAATTATTTAAATCCCCCGGCCTCTTTAAATAATTTAAATAATTTAAACAAGTTACATGGTCGGAAATTCGGCCTCAGGCGACTCCGGCCCAGAGCCTGGACTTGGGAGCATTTAAACAATTTAAATAATTTAAATACGCGCAATAAAATTGCCTCCGGGCAAAATTTGGCCAAATCGAGCCGCGCATTCCTTATCGCGTACAAAGAGCAGCCCGACTTGGCTAAATTTTGCCCGGAGGCTGCCGGGAAAAATTTGGCCAAATCGAGCCGCGAGAGTTTATATAGTTTCGGGCCTTCAGAAAGGCGCGGCTCGATTTGGCCAAATTTTGCCCGGAGGCTGCCGGGCAAAATTTGGCCAAATCGAGCCGCGAGAGTTTATATAGTTTCGGGCCTTCAGAAAGGCGCCGCTCGATTTGGCCAAATTTTGCCGGGCAGTCTGCGGGCAAAATTTGGCCAAATCGAGCCGCGAGTCTGCGGGCTCAGAGCTTGGATTTGGAAGCATTTAAATAATTTAAATAATTCAAATAATTTAAATAATTTAAATAATTTAAATTTTAATTGGGCCGAATTAAATTATTTAAATTATTTAAATCCCCCGGCCTCTTTAAATAATTTAAATAATTTAAATAATTTAAATAATTTAAAAAATTTAATTGGGCCGAGTTAAATTATTTAAATTATTTAAATCCCCCGGCCTCTTTAAATAATTTAAATAATTTAATTGGCCTGATTAATTCTTTAAATTATTTAAATTATTTAAATTATTTAAATAATTTAAATGGTCGGAAATTCGGCCTCAGGCGACTCCGGCCCGATGCCTGGATTTGGGAGCATTTAAATAATTTAAATAATTTAAATAATTTAAATAATTTAAATAATTTAATTGGGCCGAATTAAATTATTTAAATTATTTAAATCCCCCGGCCTATTTAAATAATTTAAATAATTTAAATAATTTAAAATAATTTAATTGGCCTGAATTAAATTATTTAAATTATTTAAATTATTTAAATATTTAAATAAAATTTAAATGGTCGGAAATTCGGCCTCAGGCGACTCCGGCCCGGAGCCTGGATTTGGGAGCATTTAAATAATTTAAATAATTTAAATAATTGAAATAATTTAAATAGTTGAATTGGGCCGAATTAAATTATTTAAATTATTTAAATCCCCCGGCCTCTTTAAATAATTTAAATAAATTAAATAATTTAAATAATTTAATTGGCCTGAATTAAATTATTTAAATTATTTAAATTATTTAAATTATTTAAATTATTTAAATAATTTAAATAGTCGGAAATTCGGCCTCAGGCGACTCCGGCCCGGAGCCTGGATTTGGGAGCATTTAAATAATTTAAATAATTTAAATAATTTAAATAATTTAAATAATTTAATTGGGCCGAAGTAAATTATTTAAATTATTTAAATCCCCCGGCCTCTTTAAATAATTTAAATAATTTAAATAATTTAATTGGCCTGAATTAAACTATTTTAATGATTTAAATCCCCCTGCCTCCTTAAATAATTGAAATAATTTAATTAATTTAATTGGCCGGAATTAAATAATTTAAATTATTTAAATTATTTAAATTATTTAAATAATTTAAATGGTCGGAAATTCGGCTTCAGGCGACTCCGGCCCGCAGCCTGGATTTGGGAGCATTAAAATAATTTAAATAATTTAAATAATTTAAATAATTTGAATAATTTAATTGGGCCGAATTAAATTATTTAATTTATTTAAATCCTCCGGCCTCTTTAAATAATTCAAATAATTTAAATAATTTAAATAATTTAATTGCGCGGAATTAAATTATTTAAATTATTTAAATCCCCCGGTCTCCTTAATCAATTTAAACAATTTAAATAATTTAATTCGCCTGAATTAAATTATTTAAATTATTTAAATCCCCGGGCCTCTTTCAACTATTTAAATAATTTAAATAATTTAATTGGTCTCAATTAAATCATTTAAATTATTTAAATCACCCGACTTATTTAAATAATTAAATGGGTTGTAGTTTTTATTTAAATTATTTAAATAATTTAAATTATTTAAATAATTATCAGTTAAATAGAAAAGAAGAGAGGTTAAATAGACCCGAAAGGTTGCTCTTTCATATATATATATATATATGTATGCCTACACAGATACGTATACTCGCTCGCCAGTGACACCCCCCCCCCCCCCCCCCTCCCCCCCCCACATGCGAGGCTTTGAACTTGGACGTGCCGGTCGTCATCGTCTCCTCGGAGCGAATTCGTTGGCTTAGGGCGATGAGTGTTCCGGGTTTAGGATTTAGGATTTAGGGTTTAGGGTTTAGGATTTAGGATTTAGCGCTTAGGGTTCAGGATTTAGGGTTTAGGGTTTAGGATTCAGGGTTAATGGTTTAGGGTTTGGGGCTCGGGGACCCTCAGCAGTAAGCCGGCCCCGCAACCCTAAGAAGCCACCACGTGCTGGCATGCTACAAGCCCACATGTGGCCGCGAGCATTCGGCTTTGAGGGCACATGCTATATAGGTGCGGGGCCCTTCTGTGCACTACAAAGTGCAGACCGCGATTCTCCCGAAGGCGTACAGCAGGGTTTAGGGTTTGGGGTTAAACTGTAAAGCCCAAACAGCACAAGCCCTAAGCCGAAACCCTCCTACAAACCCTAACTACACCCTATCGAACCTTACGCAATACACCCAACACCCTACCCTAAACCCCCCCCCCCCCCCCCCCCCCCCCCCAACCACAAGAAAAAACCCTAAACCCTAAACCCTAAACCCTAAACCCTAAACCCTAAACCCTAAACCCTAAACCCTAAACCCTAAACCCTAAACCCTAAACCCTAAACCCTAGACCCTAGACCCTAGACCCTAGACCCTAGACCCCCAAGAGCCAGAAAGAAAGCAACACTCCTCGAAGCTTCTGTTGGCTCTGCAGCAAGGAGCTCCACCCTTGGTCGAAGAGTGGCGGCCTGGCGATCGTGGCGGCCCAGCCCCTTGGTCTCATGCTCTTAGGGTTTAGGGTTTAGGGTTTAGGGTTTAGGGTTGAGGGTTTAGGGTTTAGGGTTTAGGGTTTAGGGTGTTGGGAACCCCAAACCCTAAACCCTAAACCCTAAACCCTAAACCCTAAACCCTAGACTAAAGCCTAGGTTTCACAACGCGCGCAAAGCCGAGAATAGAGTCTAGCTTCAGGGTCTGGGGTTTTTAGGGTTTAGGGTTTAGGGTCTGTGCTTGGTTTCTATTTTGGGCTTGTAGTTTGAGAAAGTTTGAGGGCTTCAGCGGCCACACTCCTTGAGGTACGCGTACAACTTCGCGGTGCGCGGCCACAGCGGCTTGTGCAGCATGAGTCCGCAAACTAGGGTTTAGGGTTTGGGGTTTAGGGCTTGGGGTTCCTCAAGGAACTTGAGGAACTTCAAAGAAGAGGGATTATACTTCTCCAAGGGGAACTCCCCAAAACCTAAACCCTAAAACCCGAAGCACCCTAAACCCGCTTCAGGGTTGATCCTCGCAAAGCGCCTTGTTCTCAACCTCTTAAGTTGAGACCTTAGGCGTTTGGGGGGTGTTTAAGGTTTTAAAGGGTTTAGGGTTCAGGGTTTGAGTTGAGGGTTCAGCATTGATGGTGCTATGGGGCTGCCTGCCTGTTCCTCGTCTGTTTTACAGCACTCGGTAGTGAAAGCGACTACCCTCAACCCAAGACCCTAAACCCTGAGTGTCTAGGGAGGGCTTTCGAAGCTTAAACCAAGACCTTTTGTTGGCTTTGCTTGGAGGTGTTTGAGTTTCTTACGGGTTTGGGGGGTGACAGGGCACAAGGCTGTGGTCTATGGTATATCTAGGTGTCAGGCTTAGGGTTGTAGAGGAAGGTTTTGAGTCCGTATTGGGGTGTGGTATGCAGGCCAGGTGTCAGCCATTCTCATTCAGAGCAGCTGCTCAAGCGAGTTTGTGGGCTCTTCCCTTCTGAGCTACGCGGCCTGCGCTTCGCCCGCCACTGGATGCTGCGCGTTTGGCGAATTTCAGGCGAAGAGTTGGTTGCAGTCTCTGTTGGGAGGTTCCAGCGTGTTGCGGACCTGAAAAGATTCCTGCATGACCAGTGCGAGCTCACTGGATGTAGGCTGAGACTGCTGCGTGATGGAGCCGTCCTGGATGACTCAAAAGCTGCAGGAGGCAACGGATCTGCAGCTCATCGTGCTGCCATGTTTCATAGATGCCACTGACCGCCAAGTGAAAGACCTCGTTTCTGCTGCTAGGGAAGGCCTCGTGTCGGCGGTTGAAGAGATGCTGCAACGACCGCAAGATCCGGACCAACGGACCTTTGTCCTTGAAAACATGGTGAACGAACTGTCTTGCTACCAGACCCCCCTGGGCGCGGCATGTAGTCACGGCCACGCTGAAGTTGCAAGGCTGCTGCTCTTTGCAGGTGCCAGTCATAATTGCCGGTCTCACCCAAATCGGTACGATCCAGTCGGTGCGACGCCTCTATATTTGGCGTCAAAGGGCGGCCACGCGGAGGTAGTGCGCGTGCTGCTTGAGGCCTGTGCTGACAAGAACACGGCAAGCGGCATGGACGCACTTTCTCCCTTACTTGTCGCCACCAAGAACAACCGCACGGAGGTTGCGCACGTGTTGCTAGAGGGCGCTGCCGACGCTAACAAGGCTTGCGGTGAAGATACACCGCTTGTGATGGCAATCATGCTTGACCGTGTAGACATCACCAAGCTGGTTGACTAAAGTGGTTGACTACGACACACCGCTTGGCTTGGCTGTTCGTAAAGGTCGTGAGGAGATTGTACGCCTGCTACTGGCAGCCGGCGCAGACAGAAACAAGAGGTTTGGTCCTGTCAAGGAGACGCCCCTGGCTGTGGCAGCGAAGTATGGCTACGTTCCGATCCTCAGGCTGCTGGCACAGCCAGGAGCAGTGCCAGCCCCTGCAGCCCTAAAGGCCAAGCCCGACGGCACCGCCCGCAAGGGCAATCCCAAGAAGCGCGGAAGACACCGACACCAGTAATAGAGGGGTCGGAATAAATACGAACAGTATTGCCTTATGGCCCCTGTATACATCTACTATAATCGCCGCCAAAACCCTCTTCTAATTCTCAAGGCCCCCAGATTAGCACCAATTCAGGGGAGTTTGCGGCGGGGCCAGGTGTCGCGTTGCGTGTGAAGAGCACCCGTCCTCGTGAGGGCAGCCAGCGAAAAGGCTATTCTTGCATCTAAGCCTCACAGCGCAGCGTAAAGCTTGATTCATACAGGGCATGGTCTCCGCGCTGAGACAGGGCTCACATACAACGCACCACGTATCCTTCCCAGCAGACCCCTTTCAAGACGGTCTTTTGCCACAGGTCCGGGTTTAGGGTTTAGGGTGTAGGGTTGCAGCAGTTGCAGCTAGAATTGAGACTTTCATCCTCTTGCACAGAACCCTACAACCACAGAAACATTCCAAAAGCGTTGTGCACTGCGCCCCTGTCTGCCGAAAGACCATTTAGGGCTTAGGGATGTGATTTAGGGTTTAGGGTTTAGGGTTTGGGGTTTAGGGTTTAGGGTTTAGGGTTTAGGGTTTAGGGTGTCTGCTTGAGGCTCTTGACAACCCAGACCGCTCACCATGAACATAACCAGAAGAGTTGCCACGCCACCAGCAATACCACTATCATGGTCCCCTCAGGCCCCGTTACCCGCAGAAAGCCCCGTAAGCCCCAAAATGCAAAAAACCCTAAAAAACCCTAAACCCTAAACCCTAAACCCTAAACCTTAAACCCACTGCCTCAAGCCTTTCAGACCTAAGGTGTCTTGATACCAGAGCCGAGCTAATTGCGAGTCTGGGTTTAGTGTTTGGGGCTTAGGGTTTAAGGCCTCGGGCTTAAGTTACAGGAGGTTGTTCTTTCTAATCAAAGGTTCTACTTGGAGGTTCATGGGAACTTACAAGTTGGGTTACAAGTAGGGGAACTATGGTTATGACCCTTTTTCGGGTACTTAGAACCCTACTCATAAGTACCCATGCATCTTCAAGTAGGGTTTTTGGGTCTTCTGTTTGGGATGTATGTAGGGTGGAGGGGGAGGGTGGGCTTTTTCTTGGGGGTTTAGGGTTTAGGGTTTAGGGTTTAGGGTTTAGGGTTTAGGGTTTAGTTTAGGGTTTAGGGTTTAGGGCATCTGAGGTGAAGGCTTTGCTTCTGGAGTTACAGGAATTCAGGGCTAGACCCTTAAACCCTAATCCCTAAACCCTAACCCCTAAACTCTAAACCCTAAACCCTAAACCCTAAATCCTAAACCCTAAACCCCACTTGGGTTGTCCAAGGAACCATGGCCATCGCGCCCATGTACGACACCTACGAGGCCAGCCCGGTATACGGCTTTGGTTTTGGAAATCAGGGTTTAGGGTTTAGGGTCTAGGGTTTAGGGCTTAGGGTTTAGGATTTAGGGTTTAGGGTTTAAGCTTGAGTAATGAGTTCAGAAGAGTCTGCTTTCTGGTAGGGTGTTGGCTTTCGTTGGCACAGCATGTGCTGAACTTTGAGGTTTGAAGGTTTAGGGTTTAGGGTCTTGAGGGGTTCACGCTTTCAGCGTTCGAGGCCTGGCTTTAGGGTCCGGTTCCCCGACTGCACGGTTGTTAGGCTATTTGGAGCCTAGGCCCTCAAGCTTACACCCCGAAAACCTAAACCTAAACCCCCCTAAACCTTCCTAAACCCTAAAACCTAACCCCCAAAACCCCTAAAACCCTGAACCCTAACCCTAATCCTGATGTTTCAGGGAGGAACACATTCAGGACCTTCTGCCAAAGGGCAGTGCCAAAGAAGCCACTGGAGTGCCGATGCAAGTCATGGGTCCTTTCTAGGTTTAGGGCTCAGGGTTTAGGGTTTAGGGTTTAGGTTTAGGGTTGAGGCCCTACAAGGCCATGTAAACTCAAGCCGTAAAAGCCCGGCCAACCCCTGAACTAAACCGCCCTAAGCCCTAAACCCTAAACCCTAAACCCAAACTCTAAACTCTAAACCCTAAACCCTAAACCAACTCTAAGCTGGGGAGTTTTCCGCTGTTCTCTTTTGTGTTTGCCTGTTTACTCAGACCCCAGGGGGGATCCAAAAATGGAACCACCAAAAAGTACCCTGTACTACTACTGGGGTAATTCTTAGGAACCCGTAAAGGGATCTACTTTGTGGATCCTCCCAGTGATGTGGGTGTTGTGTTTAATTTTGAGCCTCCAGTCTTGTAGCAATCTGCAGCTACTGTGGGGTTCGGACAATAGGGGTCATCGTATTTGGGTACAGACCGGGGTAAGCCGGGTAAACCTGAGAAACACCCAGCCTTTCCGGCATATACCCTAAACCAAAAACCCTGGAGAGAAGACCTCGACGGTAAGCACGTCGGCAGTGTGTGGCAGCCCTGCCAATCCTAAATCCTCAGCCCTAGGCCCTAGTTGCAGTGCTCTGGGCTCGCTCTGGCTCGATTCAGTCTGCCGGGTTTCGGGGTTTGGGGGGTGGAGGCTCGCTCTAGAATTCAAAAGGTCGCCAAAAAGGGGGCCCTAGTCTAGAACCACCTCCATGGCCTTCACGGGGCCTTCACGGCATCTTTACAGTCAGTCGGGGGTCTGGTTGTATACTTTCGGTTACGTGGGCCAAGGCAAAGCCCGAATACCTCTACCGTAAGAAGGGAAGGTCTTCAACTCGTTGTGCACTTTGAACAAGGCCAAGATTTGCCAAGAGCTCACAGACAAGTGATGTGTATTCTCCTGGTTTTACGTAGATGCCTTTGAAGCGTTTCTGTGATAGGAGTGGCAGTCGTACACATGATGCGCATGCGCTGGAATGTCTCCCATGTCTTCCTCTCCGCATATCTGGCATTCCTCATTTCTCGCCTCGCACCAGATGTGCTGGCGTACGACTGGCCCAAGTCAGCGGCCTTTGCCTCGGCATCAAATCCCAGGCATCCACCAAGACCCAGCTTCGTTGCTCTGAGGGCCAAGGGCTCCAAGAGGCTTGACGACGCCGCGCGCAACAACCGGGCCAATCAGATGAACCCAAACCACAAGCCTTCGAAGAGCAAGGCCCAAGCTGGGCCTAGGAAGAGGACGAAGGCATGTGTGAGCCCGTGACCGGATTCAAGATTCGTCACAGAGGTTGGTACATGTTCGTTCTCTGCTTCGTGTTTCCTCTGTTCTCCCAGAGACCCCTTCCTGGACCGAGGCTAGCAAACCGGGCGAACCAGCGCAACCCGAACAATGACGAGTACCACAGAAGCCGAGGAACCAGCATTCCTAAGGGCATGCAGAAGCAGCGCACAGCTCAGAAGCATAAACTCAGAGAGCAGCACCGTGGCTTGGAACCTTAAAAACCATTTGGGCCTTTACGAAAACAAGGGACCCTAATATAGACCCCCAAAAAGTAGGATTTCCTTACAAGAAGGACCCCAACAAGTACCCCTAATTTCGGAACCCCCCCAGTTACCACAGACTCACAGCGTGGAGCCCCAAAGTACGGATTCACTGCCCGTCTGTCTTCTGCCGAATCCGAAGCTTAGGCACGACAATAACTTCAAGACCAAGGCAATGGCTCTCAGGCCGAAAGACAAAGTGCCTGGGCACATCATTGAGACTTTCCTGGCTTGTGTCCGTGCAGTCAGCGGGGGAAACTCGCAAGTTCGGAAGAAAGGCTCGCGCCGGACGGGCACAGCAATCCGAGGGTCGGATTTCGACTATCACTTGGAGACACCAACTGCGCTCAGCACCGCGAATCGTGACAAGATCATCGCTGCCGCCTCGAAAAGAGGCTTAAGCATAACTTGCAAGAAGGCGTTTACGGTGCGCCACGCTGGTGGCCCAAGCATCGACTTCTTCCCTCCCGAGGCGGAGTGGCACGATGACGTGCAGGTCGAGGCGCCGCTTCAACCCCTAATGGATCAGGGGCGCAAGAACGCGATCAGGAAGCTCAAAGCTCTGAAGGCGAAGAGGAAGGATGCTTTGAACTGGCAGGAGACAAGCAGCAAGGAGTTGGAGGAGCTGGTGCTGCAAGTTCAACGTGAGAAGACGCTTGACAAGCATACGGATCCCAGTGGCGAGAGGCGGTTTTCTGAAGCGCAGCGTCGCATTTCAGCCGGGCTAGGCTTGAAAAGGTCGGTTTCATGATGCCCTGGCAGAGGCGCCCCAAGAGAGGGTTTCCTTCAAGGTGTCCTTGTGCGGGCCATTGGGATATTTGTTATTTTCCCTTATTGGGTTGAAAAGGATCATATTGAGGAACATTTTCAGAGGCTTTTAGGGGGCCATCCAAGACCCCCCCCCCTCACCAATGCATCGGCCCCACATCCCCCCATCCACCTTCACAACCTAAGCCCCACACCCCAAAAGCGCAAGCCCCAATGCCTGAACTTAGGGTTTACGGTTTAGGGTTTAGGGTTTGGGTGAACCTTAACCCTGAACTTAGCCCCAGACCCCCAAACCCCTAAAGCCCCGAGACCCAACCCCGAAGCCCCAAACCCTGAAATTTGAACCCTTAACCCCCCAAGCCCCCCGAACCCTAAAAACCCGAAAACCCCAAACCGCCATCAGGGACCCCAAAGCCCTCAACCCTAAACCTTAAACCCTAAACCCTAAGCCCTCAACCCTAAACCCTAAACCCTAAACCCTAAACCCTAAACCCTAAACCCTAAACCCTAAACCCTAAACCCTAAACCCTAAACCCTAAACCAACATCAGGGCGCCTTCTACCAGTGCACCAAGAGCCTGGAGCTCTTCGGCGCGACCCACGAGGCAGGGCTGGAGCCCGGTCTTCGGCAGTAGGGCGCGGGAGTCCAAGACTCCAAGCTTGAGGGTTTAGGGTTTAGGGTTAGGGTTTCGGGTTTAGGGTTTAGGGTTTGAGGTCTGAGGAGTTGCGGTTCAGGGCTTTGGGATCTGTTATGAACCAAGGGTAGAATCCTAAGCTTGGGGAAGGTCCTTAAGTCTGGGGTTCAGGCTTCACTTCACGGCTTTGTCGCATCTTGTGGTTTAGGAATTGGTTTGGGGTTGTAGGGGCTTGGGAGTCTGAGCTTTGCGGTCTAGGGTTTAGGGGTTCAGGGTTTGGATCTCTAAAGCTGGTCGTGGCTTCTTGCTGTGTTTTTGACTGAGATCTACTAGCCTCAGAAACAAGTAAACCCGAAACCCTGAACGCCAAACCCTAAAGTCTACAACAGCCTAAACCCTAAACCCTAATCCCTGAACCTAAATCCTAAAGTATTCAAAGGCTCGTTTCACTGCCCCCACGAGATTGGACAAGTACCCAGAGAAGCACCAATATCTGCTTAGTTCATAGGGATGGTCCCTAGATAATTTTAAAACTTAAGCCCTAAACCCTAAACCCTAAGCCCCCTCCCAGACAGGGAGGTGCAGTTGAGGGTTTAGGGTTGAGGGTCACAGACATGCAGAGCTCCACATGCTGAGAGGTTCCAGAGAGGGGGACTCCGGGTTTGTGGATGTGTAGTAAGTTAGGGTTTAGGGGTTTAGGGTTTGGGGTTTAGGGTTTCGGGTGTAGGGTTGAGGGTTTAGGGCTTGGTTTAGGGCTTAGGGTTCTCGTCTCCCGAGCACGACCGCGGGGTTCGGGGTTTAGAGTCTAGAGCATTGAGAGCCAAATAAATGCCAATCTTGTCTTCCTTTACTCAACATTTGGGAGTTTACCTAAATAGGTGACCCCTGCAGGAAACCCCCCAAACAGTAGGGAATCCTTATAATCGAAACCCCGAGAAATTTTCGGAAACCCCATGTATACATCTATTCAAATCTATTCACACCACCCATTCCTAGCGGGAGAGGTGCCCCAAACACACATCCTAAGCAACTGACCCGGCGAGGTGCGGTTTTTCCACCAGTATCAGGACTATGGAAATGGACGCTCGGTGCAGGTTTGGGGTTTAGGGTTTAGGGTTTAGGGTTTCGGGTAATCCTAAACCAATAATTTCCTCCCTGGTTTTGTATAGGGAATCAGGGAATGAGGTAGTTTCACGAGATCCATGCAGGTCCCAAAAAATGTGAAGTTCTCTAACGTCACGATCCTTTTCTTGGGCTTCCCGAGAAAAAAACGGGCCATGTACCCTAACCATGCATTCCATGCGAGAACAAGCCCGAAGCCCCAAGCCAGGGACCTGCAGGATTTAGGGTTCAGGGTTCAGGGTTGAGGGTTTAAAGGTTGCGGGTTGGGGTTCAGGGGATTAGGGTTTAGGGGGTTTAGGGTTTTGGGTTGACATGAGCATGACTCCAAGTTTCGGTGTCTGCCTCTCAAACTATGGTTACCCTGACCCCTAAACCCTGAACCCTGAACCCTAAATCAACAATTTTCATAGGAACCCCAAGAAGGCCCCCCTTCCTGCACCAACTCTGAACATGTTTGTTGTTTCACGCACATCTCTGAAAGTTGTTTCGTTAGTTCCTTGGGAAAGCGGTTCAGCGTTTAGGGTTTAGGCAGACATCAAAATGGATCCACCCTCTCTGTGGGCGGTTAGGGGGTCTATTTGGCTTAGTGGTGTTGGTGCTTGAGACCCGCAGCCGCCCCTAAACCTTAAACCCGAAACACTAAGCCCGAAGCCCGCGGCCCGAAGCCCGAAGCCCGAAGCCCGACGCCCGAAACCCAAAACCCTAAACCCTAAACCCCAAGCCCTAAACCTTAAAGCCCAAAGCCTAAAGCCTAAGCCCTAAGCCCTAAACCCTTAACCCGAACAAGCGACCCCTGAACTCTAAAGGTTTCATGCTCGTTCCAATTATAAGATATGGGTGCCTTGTATTGGGGTTGGGGTTGAGAGCTTCGCAGGAAACCTTCCCCCCCCCCCCCCCCCCCCCACCTCGGCCCCCAAACCGGAAACCCCAAGCCCCAAGCCCCAAGCCCCAAGCCCCAAGCCCCAAAACCCCAAACCCCATGGATTGCATTGACTCCGAGTCCGCGTCAAGGAAAGGGTGCCGATTATGTGTTCATTGACCACCCCTCCTTCCACCGGCTCCTTGGGGTGAACAACCGATTTCGACCCCCTAAACCCTGAGATCCGTAAACTGGAAGCCGCAGCCCCGAATCCCTCAGATCCCTAAACCCCTGAACTGCCTGAGATTCCCTCTTAGGCTAGGGGAGGGCCTCATTATCTCAGGGCGTCTTAGTATCATTAGGCTAGTAGGGTCATAGACAAGTATGCTAGGGCCTCTTAAGTTCAAGCATCGAGGGCCTTAGGGCCTCTTGGGTCGGGCCTTGGGCCTCATGAGGGCGTCTTAGGCAGGGTCTTAGTGTCTCTTAGGGGAAGGCCCTCATAGTCATAGGGCCTCTTTTCATGAGGTTCTTCGAAGTCCGAAGCTCACGCAGTGAATGCCATACGTGTGGAACGCGCTACATGGTGATACGACTCTGACGGATCTTATTGGTGCGATCAGTGCCGTTTCCAGCTCTGTACACCGGTAGGCTGCATCATGTGCAAGCCGAACGATACCGCAAAGTTTGCAAACAAGACCCAACCCCCCCGAACCCCCTAAGCCTGAAACCCTAAACCCTAAACCCTAAACCCTAAACCCTAAACCCTAAACCCTAAACCCTAAACCCTAAACCCTAAACCCTAAACCCTAAACCCTAAACCCTAAACCCTAAACCCTAAAGCCTAAACCCTAAACCCCAAACCCCTAAACCCCCAAAGTGGGCCTCAGGGCCTGAGATCTGAGGCCCGGGGGCCTCTACCACAACACGGCGGACAACCAGGCTCCGCGGGTTCGAGTTTTTAAGAGGCTGAAAAGGAGCCCGAAACCCCTAAAACCCCTAAAACCCTAGGCCCCGAAAGCCCCCCAAAGCCTCCCTAAACCCTAAACCCTAAACCCTAAACCCTAAACCCTAAACCCTAAACCCTAAACCCTAAACCCTAAACCCTAAACCCTAAACCCTAAACCCTAAACCCTAAACCCTAAACCCTAAACCCCAAACCCTGAACCCCAAACCCCAAACCCGATTCGCCCCTTCCGAGGACTCTTAGAGTCTGAGCAGCCCAAGCCCGAAACCTCAAGACTTTCAACCTCGGAGCCTGCCAAAAAGGAACGAGGACTGTTGGGGTTTTGGGGGTTTTGGGGTTTTGGGGCTTTGGGGGTTTTGGGGTTTAGGGGTTTGGGGTTTGGGTTTTGGGGTTTAGGGGTTTGGGGTTTAGGGTTCCTCGGCCCCGCGCAGCGCAATCGCAGAACCCGAATGCACGTGGTGCCCTTGCATTGAGCCTGAGTTGAGGGATTAGGGTTTAGGGCCTTTAGGGTGTAGGCTTCAGATCATCAGGCTTCTGGATCCTTTGAGCCCAACCTTGTTGGGGGTTTAAGGCTGAGGGTTGAATCGAAGAGGAGTACGCCGACAACCTCTTCCGGTTCGCGCTGTTTTCCCTGGCTGCCTTGGAGGCTCGGAGCGCTTGGGGTTTGGGGTTTGGGGTTTGGGGTTTGGGGTTTGGGGTTTAGGGTTTTAGGGTTTAGGGTTTAGCCCCCGAACAAAGCGTAGCATAGGGCCCCTCAAGCATCACTTTCATACTGTGATGGCTCTGTTGGGGGTTTTGTATCTAGGCGGGGGGGACTTCTGATGCACCCCTCAACTCTGAGACCGCCTCAAGCTGGCTATCTCTGACTTGAAAAAGATGCGGGGTTTGCGCTTCATGGGGGGTTCGGGTGTGCGGAAGTGTTTGGTTGAGGGTTTAGGGTTTCTTAAGATCTAAACCCTGGTCGCTGGACCCTTAACCCGTTTTCCTAAGTGTTTAGCATTGAGAGTTGAGGCTGTTTAAGGTTTAAGGTGCCTAGGTTGCTGGCAAACTCTTGAGCCAGACCCACACCCCTGTGCTTCAACCCTACACCCTAAACCCTAACCCTAAACCCCAAACCCTAAGCCCCAAAGTCCGAAAGCCCTGTGCTTCAACCCTAAACCCTAAACCCCAAACCCTAAACCCTAAGCCCTAAAAAAGGCGCCTGGCTTCACACCAGTTGACATCCTCCTCCACCCTATATCTCTACACACTGACTTGCCAGCCGCGTCGTGAAGGTTCATGGGCACTTATAAATAGGGTTTAGGGTTTAGGGTTTGGGGTTTAGGGTTTAGGGCTTAGGGTACTTGAAATTAAGCTATAGCCATAGCCATAGCTTCCTTAGTTCTAACCCCTACTTCAAAAGTC